TCTTTGGTTTTGAGACTTTAGTCTTTGCAACTTCAGGGATCTTATCTATTCACGAACAGCTTGTAACACTCCAAAGAGAAAGGAAAACTTGAAATCGCATCATATGACCCCTTTAATTTCCCAGAACTGTCTTTTAAATTCACAGGGCCCTTTGGTGTACATTAAACCAATAATATATAAAGCTTTGCAGTTATAATTTTATCAAGAATAAGAATAAGAATAAGAATTAAATGTGGTGTAAGCCGACAGAACTCAACCTCATATTTTTTATGTGGAACATAAACAGCCCATATCAAGTTCTGTCTGAGGTTCTTTCCATTCGCCACCTGGCGTCTAATACAGTAACTGATACTGGATTTGTGCATGTTCTTGGATTGCCACACCAAGCAAGAAGACATAAGCTATAAAACTGACCAGACTGCAAGCAAATGAACGATAACATATTCCCGAATCCTAGTTATTACACTGGTTACTGCAATCAGTTTTAGTCACCCACACAATGAAACATGATATCCTTTTAAAATTTGATTTATGAAAAATATGATTTATCCTTTTATATGTTATTAATAATAATAATAATAATAATAATAATAATAATAATAATAATAAATGGCTGGAGTAGGTTTTCTTTTCTTTACTTCAAAATTTCACATTTAATCCAATGTGTTACTTGCCGTTTGTTTGTAAAATTTACTAGCAATTTGTGAGTGAAAATTCTACACCACAACTTTTATCAGTGTATAGTAATATTAGGAACAGGCCTTTATAATTAGTAATAGCAGCAGTAGCCTATAGTAATAGTATGAAATAAATAATATTGTTTCTTTAGAATATTAGCCTAACATATTTATTTTTTCTTCTGTTGAATAATTCAATATGATCTTGCAGTCGTATATGTCACTGTAGTTGATAGGTGTTAGTACATTTTTGTAAGGGTATAAAATCTCTGTCACATTCAAGAAAAAAAAAAAAAAGCACTGGACGTTTCTCCCAGTAACTGCATGCAACAGACAGTAGAGGGCAACGTGTGATCATGTTTTCTATATAATATCTCAGCATGGATTTCTAAAAGATCTGCATTGATATGTCTTAATTAATATAAACCACGTTCACAGTCGCCAATCACATCAACAACAAAAAAAAAATATTACATTGTCCCAGTCACTGTATTGTTATTATAGCCTAATGCAGATACATTTATGTTGTTGTCTTTTCATAGTAAATAAGCGTTTAAAACAGTTACATTTATCTTAACAAAAATTATATTCACATTGTCTTTCCACTGACCTAAAATAATATCATTATAGAGCTACTGCTACAAAATTCAGTGTAAGATAGCTAAGTTGAACATTAGCTGCATGGTTGACAGTCGTGTCACAAAAAATATATATTATTATTAATAATAATAATAATAAGAAGAAGAAGAAGAATAGAACCAGCTAGAAACCAGTTACTATGATCCAAAACACAGCAAACAGCTTAATCTGGATTTTCCAGGATACTTTTAAATAATGACACTAGATGGCGTTTCTTTACCGCTTCTCATTATTGTGCTCAATTATTTGACACCTGTCAGGATATCTAGTCCTGTTGGATGCTGGTCACTGGCAAAACTGCAACAGAAATTGAAATTTGTCACTGTAATTGTACGCTTGAGCAAACTGACAGGCATTAGACACTGACCATGAGCGATCCTGCCTCCTTATAATTTTGATGTTAGCAAGTCTCCAAAGGACAAGCTCCGCTGTTGATTGTCACGTTACATTGTGCTTGTGATTGGGTCACACTGCTGCAATTGACTCTGTGACACTCCATTCCAAACACTATGGGCCGACAGCCTTTGATTTGCCCATCACCTGCATCTGAGATTAAAGCCCCTGCTATATTCTGTCTCCACAAGTCAAACACTCGAACACACAGGGAGAACCTGGTTGCAAACTTCAATTATGTCCCAGCCTTGTCAATTCAATGACATCGACTTGCTGTTGAGGAGACGCACATCCAGTTTCGGGGAATGTGCCTACCTTCGATAAACGAATAGGCGGTTGTCACAGAGAGTGATCTCATTGTGCTTCTCGCCACTGCTGTTTAATTGTGTGTGTGTGCTATAGTTATTGTCCATAAGGTTCAAGGCAGCACTAGATTCAAAACAGAAAGAGCGGTTCATTTGTTACACACACTTTGTGATGAAACTCTCATTTCATCCTGAATCAGCTGCCTCCTCCTCGGCTTCGGATCTGTGGGTCACAATATAATGTACTTGGTCATAATACTGAAAGACTAACTGGCTCAAACAGCCCAGCATGGAAAGCCTCACCGGCCAATTATAAGCTCTGATTGTGTTCTATATGACGAGAGACTCTAAAATCAATTCCACATCGCACTGATATCTGGACTGACTCATGTTGCCCACATGCAGATGCGGTTTTAACAAGCTCCCAGCCTGTCTGGCTCACGTCCATTCACAGCAATTAACATTTCTGTAATGTGGCATTGATTCAGCTGTAAACATTCTTTGCGTGAACATTTGGGCGGCGTTATGCAAATCTTCCCACATAGTGAGGTAGATATGTGGGGGCGTGTTAGAACGAGCCGTTTTAGGTATAGCCGTTGTTGGCTTAACTTTTATAAAGAATATCTCTTTGGATTTGAGACTTTAGTCTTTGCAACTTTACATATCTTGTCCCTTTTCACACAAAGTATGATTACAGGAGCAGATAATTGATTAAGAAAGACAGCATTGCACTTGAGTTGTGGACTTTTTGGGTTTCATGAAACAGGAGTCACAATAAAAAAGCTAAAATCCTTGTGGAACAATGCTAAAATAACATGGCTGCTTCAGCAAATTATTATTATTTTTATTTTTTTTTGTCTCTCGTTTGCTTTTGCTCACATTATCAGTTTGGTTTGGTGTAGGGGTTACGTTAATTCAATTTTTTTTTTCATACCATGGAAGTCAATGACTACCGTCAACTGTTTGGTTACCAACATTCTTTAAAATATCTTCTTTTTGTGTTCAACAGAAGAAAGTGAGTCCTACAGGTTTGGATCGAGTGAGGGGTAAGTAAATGATGACAGGATTATAATTTTTGGGTGAACTATCACTTTAAAAACTACAAGCAATACAATATAATTTAGCAAAAACAGATCCACAGGCATGGT